TTTAGCTCTCTGAAAGTGAATGATATATGAAGATTTGTAAAAACAGTATACTAAAATGCTTTTTAATTGGCCTATTTCTAAAGTCCTAGGAAATCCTCACTGGCGAGAGAACTAAAAGAATGTAAATTGTCTAAGGACTAATAAACTCTCTCTCTCTCTTTCTCTCTCTCTCTCTGTACTAATATAATACCTGAATAAATGAAAGTGCAAGTAAAAAGCCATATTCTTTGCATTTATCATTTATCTTAATGGTGATGCTTTATGCCTTAATTCACAAACTAATGAGAAGTGGCCATATATATATGGCAAGATTTACAAGCTCATATAATTAATACCACCTGATATTCATGTAGCATTTCATAATACATCCTCTCATTATCACAATAAACCTCATGACAAAAGTCTAGTAATCTCATGTATGATCTATGTTTTACAATTGAGGAAGCTAAGACTCAGAAAGAGTAATAGATTTGCCTAAAGCCACAAAGCTAGAGTGTCAGGAGTGGATGTATCCCTGGTCTTCTGCCCAGAGTCTGGTGCAGCTCATTACATACAGGTTTCCTCATGTTCCCTACATAGGGCAAGTTCTCAGATACCATCTTAGAACCTACTTGTGGTACAGAATTTGAGCAAGTTGCCAAGAATAAATTTTTAAATGATTGAGAGAGAGAGAGATACCACATAGAATAATAAAGCCAATGAGCTTTGGAATCTATGAGCACTTAATTCATTACCCTAACTTGGACAAATTCACCTGTTCTGTACCACAGAAATTTTATGGAATTATTGGGAGTAATGAAAACAAAGTACAGGGCTCATTCATCACAGGCACTTAAGTAAATGGCAGTTATAAAAAGAGTGAAATGCCCTAGTAGAAGTGGGAACGCTTGGCTCATCATCAGAACCATCTGTAGAGCTTTGGAAAAACATAGCTTTCTGGTCTCCAACCCAAACCTGTAGAATCTTTACCCCCATTGACAGAGTTTGGGAATCTATCTTTTTATAAAGTCTTCTCAGATGATACTGATAATCAGCCAGATTTGGAAATCCTTGATTAATTCATAGGATATAAACACTTCACTCTCTCTCTTTTTATGTTTATTTTTTTGGCCTTAAAATAATGATGAAATATAGGGAGGATGTATTAAATGGCTTCTGTGAGACAGAAATTAGGCCAAGCCCTTGACAGAAATTTATCACAGCAACACAATGAGGCAGAAATTACTTTCCCCAAGTTAAAGGAAACTGACACTTAAGAATTTATAAACTATAAAGCCAGAATTAGAACTTAAGTCTGTCTAAAACATTTTCACTCCACATATTATTTTTCTACATATTCATGTTTGCTGCAACTCTGACATATGTTGTTAGTGAAGTTGCTCTCAAAGTTAATGTGATTATGGTGATGACGTACTTCGGAACCATAAAATTGTTGATTCTGATTAATGCCACATGAGATGAATAGAGTGGAAATATACAGCATTGTGTAAATTGTAAGATTTTCTCTTTAAGGACCTTGATTGTTTACTTATTTCTCAAGACTGGGCTTCTGAATATAGGTCATTTGATTGAAGTGAATCATCTCTTCTAATGATATTTAGTATAAATGTAATTTTCAAGTAGAAGATTCTAAAACTTAACTTTTTCAATAAAAACATAGGCAGACAAAGCTCACCCACATAATTACAAAAATGTATAACTGTAAATACACATATAATGCATGTCGCAGAGTTCCCACCATTTTTGTAAAAAGTTTAACTGTTAAAATGAGACATTTGTAACGTTAAGATAATTTAATGTCTACATGGACAGAACTTACACTCATTTATCATTCGTTCAATTATTCATTCAATCACTAGGTGGAGTATACATGTAAGAATACAGTGGTAAATAAAACCACCAAGGTCCTCCTTATGAAACTTACGGTCTAGTTGGAGATATGGTTCTTACTCAAATAATCACACAAATAAGTGCAAAAATGCAACTGTGGTAGAACCATGAAGAAAAGGTATATACACTGCCATGGTTAATTTTATGTGTCAACTTGGGCCACAAAATACATAAAAGTTGGGGCCACTGTGTCACGAAATGCCCAGATATCTGATGAAACATGATGCCTGGGTATGTTTCTGGAAAAGATTAACATTTGAATTGTTGGCTATGGTAAAGCAGATGGCCCTCCCCAATGGGGAGCGGGGATCATCCAATCCATCGAGGGCCCGAGAAGAATGAAAAAGTGGAGGAAGATTGGATTCACAGCCCCTCTGACTAACTGGTTGAGCTAGGACATTGATCCTCTCATGTCCTCAGCACTGCTGGTTCTCAGGCCACCGGCGGCTTTCTTGGGTGTCCAGCAGGTCATGGGGCTTCTCAGCTTCCATAATCATGTGAGCTCATACCTTACAATAAACCTCTCTGTATCTATCCTATTGGTTCTGTTTCTCTGGAGACCCTGCTACAAGGGATTATAATTGGAAGGCTTTTATGAGACACTGACACCAAATGCAGTCTGAAGGATGAACAAAATTAACTAGGTAAAGAGGGGTTCCTAGGAATAACATGCCAGGCAAAGAGAAGAGTCCGTATAAATGTTCGGTTTGAAGAATTAATAAAAGGTGAGTGTGAGTAACAGAGAGGAAGCTGAGAGGGGAAGTAGGTTACACAAAGCCTTGGAGGCTCTGTGAAGAATTTTTTCTTTATCCTAAAAGCATCTACAAACATAGAAGGGTTTAAATAAGGGGACAACTTGTAAAATTACTTGAAAAAGCTCATTCTGGCTGCAAGAAAGAATGTATAGGAAGGAAGCAGAAAGGAAATTATGGCTTGAGCCAGGATAGTGGCAGTAGATATGGGGGAAATAAACCACACAGACAATAAAGATATTTAGGAAGTAAAATCATAAAGGCTACAATTTACTCAAAAGTTAGTGCTGAGCTCTAGTTAATATGCATGCTGAAGTATTTATAGGAAGTGGGTTGATTTTTGCAATTTACTTTAAAATGTATGAAAAAAATAAAATGGATGTATGTATAGATAGGTTTATAGATAGATATGTGAAAAAATGAGTATAATAGAATGGTAGAAACTAGATGGTGAGTTCTCTATAAAATTCTGTTGACTTTGCTGAATGTTTAAAATTTTTCATAATGAAATGCTTAAAAAACTGACAAAAATCAATAAATGGTAAAGTTCAATAAATTATCAAAGCTTGATTATACGTTCTCTAATCCCAATGTAATAAAATTTAAAAATACAAATAAAACATAAAAATTCCAACCCACTAAAAATATACAAATAAGGAAAAAACTCTCAAAATAAAAATTGCAGAACATCTAGAAAATAACAGTAATATAAATATTACATATAAAAACTCTTGTAAAACAGAAAAAGAAAGAACAAATCTAAACATTCAATCCAACAGAAAAAGACTATTAATATTTTTTTAAAAATGAGGAAAGTGGAAAGAAGAAATCAACATGATAAGAGTGCGTGTGTCGGGGGGTGAGTTCTGAGGAGTGGGACAAAGTAAATAATACATAAACCTGTGATCTATTTTTATAAATAAACAAAAACTAATAACTAACCAACCATTAGCTAGCAGAGCTAATCAAAGGAAAAAATCCCCAAACAACAAAAAAATGTAAAAGAAAAAAATAACCGCACTTATAATCCAGATCATTGATTTTCAGCAGGTGTGCTGCAAGAAACATTGGCGTGCCACAAGAATTTTTAAAACATGCAATAGCTGCTACTTAGGGTCACTGGCCTCTTTTCACTTCAATTGTCAAAAAAAATGACAACAGCCAACACAACGATAGCCGTCCAGTGTGTATGAATCAGAATTATACCTATTTTTCTTGGTCAGATAGGCAAAATATATATATTTTCGTGTGCTGCAGAATTTTAGTAATCTGTTTATGTGCTCCATGAGATGGAAGAACTTGAAAATCACTGTTCTAGATAATTGCAATAATAAAAATTAAATACTTTGCTTTATTCTACTTAAAAACCTTTGACTATCTGGATTTTAAAAAAATATTGTTTTCAGAAAATATAAATACCATATTTAAAATCATAAGAAATGGTAAATTCAGGCTGATTTTAACAGAAAAAAAAAATAAGCAGTGGTCTAAGACCTACTTCCTAAAACGGTACTGATATCGTTACTATAACCTGGTTATTATTAGCAGGAAAGGAAAAAAGGGAAGACTAGATGACATAGGCATGCCACTTACACAGCTTTGCCAGGAAGTGCAGGCCACATTCTCCAAGTCTGTTCCCCGCAGGTCACTGGGGGAAGGGACTGGACAATAGATGCATGCCCAGGAAGGCCTGAGTGACATGGGAAGGCAAGTCCCTGTCAGTCACAGCTGGGAATGAGGCAATGGCCAGGACAGGCGTGGCCACTGCAAACTCGGGAAAATTTCATATTTAAACCCCTGAACAAGGGGAGTTCTCTCTCTGGCTGCTTGCCGGTGCTCCTGGGGGCACACTCGCCTGCACTCACGCACACAGTAGCCTGATGGACTGAATCTAGCCTGAGGCTACCTCAGACCTGCTCCACCATGGACCTGGAAGCTCTGGACACTGGCTTTGCTTTTAGCTCTGCTAAAGGCCCAGCTGCACCTTTTTCAGGACCTGGTTAAAGGACATGGGACTTCACAGCCCGAAGAATGTACCTCCATGAAAAGACAGCCTTTTCCACATCTCATCCTTCCAGGGGGGCCTCCAGAAGTGCTCATTCCAGCAGCTCCCCAAGAACCCCACTCCCACTAGCAGCAGAGGATTCCCACTTGTACATTCTCCTGATAACAGAACCAGATCTACGGTTTTACAGATAAATCACATCAGTTACTCAATGTCTAGAACATTTTATTTATCCCAGACCCTACAGAATAAAAATGGGCCAGGCCTTCCACTATAGAAGCCAGAGCTGCCAGCCTTGCTTCCCCAGCCTCCTGTGCCTGGACCCGGGCCCCAAACCTGGGTTCCTCCATCAGGTGTACACAGTGTCGCTGGAAGTCAGCCAGCGACTCAAGACCAGAGCTCGTGTCAAATAAAATCTCACAACAGGGAGCAGACTTGCAGCCATTTCTGATTTCCAGAGACAAGAGTGGCGTCGAATCCAGTGGCACCTTCGGGAATCCCCGTTCCCTGTATGGGCCGCTCAAGGCACAATGCCTGGTGCCCGGCGCTGACAGAGTGCTGCTTTCTCCATACCAACCTGGAGGGCGTCTTGGGGGTATTGTTCCTGGCCGTGTAGCCTCCTAGTTTAGCTCTCAGTATTCCGAGGGATTCTCTGAGACTCCCAAATGCTCTCATGAATCCATTTTTTACTGCCATTAGAATGAGTTTCCGCTTCTTCCAACTGGGAATTCAGGCTGATACACAATAAAGCATTGGTAGCGAAAGCTTTTAAAAGTATAGCCATCTCATATATGCTATCAGCGTTCATGTAAAATTCATTTAATAGCAGCAGCTCATAAAAAGAATAATTCACCATGACTCAGAGGGGTTTTCCAAAGAAAGTCTCTCACTATTAGGAAATTTACTGCTATAATTAATATAATTAAAAGGTCAAAGGAAATAAGCCATTTAGTCATCATTATAGATGCCAAAAAGACATGTGATAAAATTAAACATCCATTTCTGATTCAAAGTAATCTTCATAAAACTGAAAGGGTGGTTTCTTTAACATAATAAAATACGCATTTTAAAAACTCAGAATTTTGATACAGATATAAGCTTTGTATCTCCTATTCACAGAAGGCACTTAGTATTTTGTGAAAACATATACAGCAATCAAAAAGGTGATATTGCATAGAATGAAGAAATTTAAAATAGATATGTGATTTTCCTCAATGTATTAAGATTACTCAAAGTTAAATTTTGAAAACAAACAACAAATGGCCTAGTAAATACTAAACACACCCATTAAGTCGCTTTGCCATTTCTGTTCTGTTTTTCAAAATCAATTTTTACCTTAAAAAGGTGGGAAGGAAGTTGGGTGCAGGGCTCTTCTTTAAATAGAATTTTCTTTTCCATTTACTTCTAAAATAAATCACATGAATCACTTATAAATAAAAACAGCTGATTTACAGAGCAAGGTTTTGCTTAAATGCCAAATGAAGAATGTAAGACCTAAGTGGAATCAAGTGAAACCACAAAAAAAGGAGATGCATTCTGGATTGTTGAATGTCATATCAGCCCTGTGATCATCTGTAGGAAATAAAATTTCTTCCAACAGCCAGCAGCCCAAGGACTGATCTGACAATAGTTCAAAGCATACAATGTAAAAGGTAAAAAAGGGAAGAGTGGGAATGCAAAGTCTCAATGGCATGACACAACAGTGACCAGCCTCCATCTGGAGCAATGGATTCCAGAAGCGTTAGGTGTGCCCTGACCGGGAATCGAACAGTGATCTCCTGGATCCTAGGTCCATGCTCAACCACTGAGCTATGCCCGACCAGGCTATTGTGAGCATTTTTTAAAAATACATGAGTATTTTAAATGATTTTATCTAGTCAATATTTTTTATGTAGCTTTTGTCTTGATCACAGAGTCTTATTTATTTAATATTTAGAGCATAAACCATGAATTAGGTACATATACTAGGTAGCATTCTAGGTGTTAGAGATACAGGAGTAAAATGAAGAGACAAGGATCATACTCTCATGATGAGTATGTTTGAGACAAGAAGTAAGTAAATAAATTTAACAGAAGCATATAATGGAGAGAGTAACCAGGGGATATAATATTTGAGTTGATAGCTGAGAATAAAAAAAAAAATTTTAAATCCAGCCATGCAGAGGAAAACCATTCTGGGTAAAGATAACAGCAAGTGCAAAGGCCTTTGGGCAGCAAAAAGTTAGATGAGATTGAGACACACAAAACCCTGTGTGACTGGATCACAGGTAAGGAGAATGAGTTGTGGGAGAAAAAGTTGGAGAAGTAGGTAGGGCCTTTGTAAAGAGTTTAGATTTCATTTCAAGAGCAAAGAAAAGCTGTTAGACTTGACAGGTGGAATGTGATGACTAACATCCCTTTTAAGAGCCTATGTTTAAAAACTAGGAATATTAAAATTGACCTAACTTCAGCCTAAGTGCTTTCTACGTAGCTGTTGGGACTCATTTAACTAGAAACCCATAGGTAGGAAAAACCCTAGGAGAAATCAATCAGGACCCCATCTTAATAATGCCATCAAGGATATAGGTCCTTTGTCACACCTTTTTCTTCTATCATCAATATGTTGACTTGTACAAAATGACCACGGCAGCAAAGGTCATCTAATTTTTGAAGTTGATCTCATGGAAGACAGATTCATCCATTTATTCAATAAATATTTATTAATCTCCAGTAGTGCATTTCTAGGTACTTTGAATATAATAGTGAAAAAGATAGACAAAACCCCCCTATCTTCATGGAATTTATATACATTTGGTGGGGGAGGACAGATAGTAAACAAAATATATTAAGAAAAATATGAAGCATGTGAGATGCTCGTAAATGCTAATAAATTTTAAACCTGGGTGGATTGTGAGGCTGTTAACTCCTATGGGGAATATTTTAAAAAATCACGTTTTGTTGAGGATAAGTTTGGTTTTCAGTATGGTCATAACGAGAAGATCAAGGGGACAGCAGGAAGAGTGGATGTGTATTTGGATTTGATTACAGGACAGAGATACAGTTTTGGAGGTAAGAACCCCTGAAGCTCTTGTTGAAGGAAATGAAGAAGATGGAAACCTCTAAGACAAGGGAGTAGCTCCAAAAATGTGAGAGCAAGGCCTTCCATGAGTGCTCTTTCTTAATAGGAGAGGAACGAGACAAAGTAAGTTCTTCAGATGTTTGCAAGGGAATCACTGTCCCTGGGGCAGAGGGAGAAATGAGTTGAGAAAGGAACATCTGACATTATTCAGCCCGCAGCATTCAACCTTAAAGATTTTTACCCGTGATTATGATTATTAGGCAAACAAATATGTGTCGCCTTCAGCAAAACGGTCTTGTGGCTCATGCGGTGCGAGTTGTTTTCTTACATCCCTAAGTGCAGTGAAACATCTGCGAGGGGAGAGAATTAACATGTGAACAAGTGAAAGGAAAACAGCTAAAATCTAAAGTCCTTATTTAGAGGCTGAGGTTCTTTTTGCAATGAATAAACTTTCNGTGAACAAGTGAAAAGAAAACAGCTAAAATCTAAAGTCCTTATTTAGAGGCTGAGGTTCTTTTTGCAATGAATAAACTTTCATTTTGGGGGGAGCAGTTTAAGGTCACAGCNATGTGAACAAGTGAAAGGAAAACAGCTAAAATCTAAAGTCCTTATTTAGAGGCTGAGGTTCTTTTTGCAATGAATAAACTTTCATTTTGGGGGGAGCAGTTTAAGGTCACAGCAAAATTGAGCAGAAAGTACAGAGAATTCTCATCTACTCCCTGACCCCTCCCAGCCACCGCCACTCTCAGCATCCTCACCACAGCCGTACACTTGTTACCACGGATGAACCTACACGAACATATTGCAGTCCAAAGTCCATAATTTATTATTGTTTTGGACAGTTATGTGTAGATGAATTAAGAATAAAAAAAAAGAACCCTGGCCAGGTGGCTCAGCTGGTCGGAGCGTCATCCTATGCACCAAAAGGCGGCAGGTTCAAGTTCTGCTCAGGGCACATGCCTGGGTTTCAGGTTCAATCCCTGGCTGGGGCCTGTGTGGGAGGCAATTGAACCATGTTTCTCTCTCACATGGATGTTTCTCTCTCTCTCTCTTTCCCTTCCTCTCTCTCTAAAATCAAGAAAAATATATCCTTCAGTGAGGATTTAAAAAAAGAGAGAGAACAGAAAAATAAGGCATTTAAAAACAAAAAACTTTCTCTTATTCCTTCTAGTCTAACGCTCTTCCTTTCTTTATGTAACTCTTGAGTTTCGGACATTTTCCCTTCCTCTGAATAACTTATTTTAACATTTCCTGCAAGGCAAATCTACTTGCCATAAATTCCCTTGTTATTTGTTTGAGGAAATTTTTCTCCTTCGCTTTTGAGGATAATTTCCCAGGGTGCATAACTCTGGGTTGATATTTTCTGTCTGTTTCAACATTTTAAAATTTTAACCTTTCCTCTTCTTGCTTGCACGGTGTCTGAGGATAAGCAGGATATAATTCTTATCTTTGTTCCTTTATAGTAAGATGTTTTTTCCTCTAGCTTCTTTCAGTACTTTCTTTTATTTCCTGCAGCTTGAATATCACATGCCTAGGTGTTCTACGGACACTTTTCTACTCAGTGGTCTCGGAACGTTCTGGATCTGTGGTTTGGTGTCTGACATTAGTTTGGGGAACGCTCAGTCGATATTGTGTCAAATATTGCATCCATTCCTTTCTCCCTTCTCCTTACATTTCCATTACATATATGTTACCCTTCTGCAGTTCTTGGATATTGTTCTAGTTTTCAGTACCTTTTCTCTTTGCTTTTCAACTTTGGAAGTTTTTATTGACATATCCTCATGCTCAGAGATTTTTTTACTCAGCCATGTCTACTCTGCTAACTAGCCCATCAAAGGCATTCTTCACTTCTATTACAGTGTTTTTGATCTACAGTATTTCTTTTTTATTTTTTCTTAGGATTTCCATTTCTCTGCTTACATTGCCCATCAGTTCCTGCATACTGTCTACTGTTTCCATTAGCATCCTAGCGTATTAATCATGGTTGTTTTAAATTCATTGTCTGATAGTTCCAATATCTCTGCCACGTCTGAGTCTGGTTCCAATGCTTGGTGTGTCCTCTTCCAATTGTGTTATGTGTGGGGTTTTTTGTTGTTTTTTTGTTTTTTGGTTTATTTATTGATTTATTTTTAGGTTTTGCCATTTAGCATGCTTTGTGAGTTTTTGTTGAAAGCTGAACATGGTTTACTGGGTGGAAGGAACTCTGGTAAACAGGCCCTCAGTAATGTGCGGTAAGGTGGGGTCGGGAGGAAAGTGTCCTATATCCCTATAATTAGGGTTCAGTCTTTTAGTGAGCCTCTGCCTCTAACTGTGAACGTCACAGATGCTTCTCAGCTCCCCACTCCTATGCCTTATAAGGAACAGACTATATGGAGGAGTATTTGGATGTTTCCCTTCTCACACGTGGAAGGCTAGGCACTGAAGTTGGGTATTTCCCTTCCCCCGGGTCAATTAAACTCTGATAAAATCCCAATAGTTTAGGCTCTGGTAAAAGTTTCTCTTGAGTGCAGGCCTTATTAAATAGAACAGTCTATTCTGGCATATTTCAAAATGGTTACTTTTCCCCTTCCCCTGCTAATCATCCAAAGGGATTATTGCTTCTTCTGCTGTTCACTGTGAGGACCTGGTAGAGCTTCAGGAAGTAAAACTCACAAAAGAGGAGTTTTTAACGCAGACTTATCCACACTGAGCATCCAGCAATCCATCAATTCCACTTCCAGGAACTGGTTTCCATGGAGGTGTCTGCTTGTGGATTTCTGCCCTCCTAAATTGTGCTTCTCTGTGTGGCCTATCTCTCCAAGTTTTAAAAATTGATTTGCGAGAGAAAGAGAGAGAAACATCAGCCTGCTGTTCCACTTATTCATGCATTCACTGGTTGACTCTTCTTGTATGTGCCCTGCAGCCTTGGAGTACTGGGGCAACGCTCTGACCAACTGAGCAACCGGGCCACAGCCATTCCTCCAATTTGGGGGTCAGTGTTTTATCCTGTCACCTCGCTTCTCTGAAGGACCTAAGGGGAGTGTTGAATTTTCAGTTTATTTAGATTTTTATTTGTTGTTAGGGTGAACTGGACACTCCAAGCTCCTCATGTGGCAGATCAAAAACGGAAAGTCCTAAACCTGATATTTTATTGGTTAGTGTATTCTCACCATGCCCACCCCAGTCCACCCTGCTCACACTCTCCTGCACTTCCTTGGCCCCTTCTGAGATCCCTAGCTCCAACACAAGCACCGTGTTCAATCTATCTTGGCTCATCTGAGTAGTTTTGATCTACAACCATGAAAAATGAAGAAAAAGAAAAATCTATCAGGGATTTGAGAAAGAGGAAGATGATTAGTGTTTTATAAAACACAGACATGGACATTATTTGGTATTTCTTCATTGTCTTCTATGACAAGGATATTTTGTTAATTAAAAAATATATATGCTTTTGTTTACAGCCTTAAAATTGGTCTTCTGTAGCCAGTACTGGGTGCATAACCAGGATTTACTAAGGGACTAAAGAAATCTCTTCTAACTAGCATTTCTACCCTTCAAAGAACAGACATACTCTGTGTCATAACCTTGGTAAAATATCTCTTAAGAATAATGCTGATGCAGGATGGCAAAGCTCTTTTTCTAGTAAGTATGCCACGAATGAAAATGACTACGGCAATCTCCACTCTCTCTGAGTGAGTCACTAAATCAACCAAAGGGAGGGAAATGGAAAGAAACTCCTTTCCTGAAACGATGCACGTAAGCATCCTTCCAGGTCTGAGTGGTACAACCCTGCCAAGGGCAGTAAGAAATGTGTCTCTGAAAGATGTCAGCTCATTTGGAAGTTTGGATATTGAGTCTTTGTTGTCCATTTCCTTTTAACTTCTATGAATGGCTTATCACTTCCATTAATAACTATTTTACTCCTTTTCAGTCGATTCATGAAAGTGAAATCTAAAATGAACACTGCACATGTAGCCTTTAAAAACATTATTAACATCAGACATAAAATCTACCTAGCGATCTTCACAGAGTCCTAGAGAAAGGGAAGTTGATAAAAATTCAAGTAGCAGAAGGGGGCAGTAAAACTCAACAGAATACTCTGGAAGATTTTCCCTTCAAATAGATGATTTCCCAACAAATTTCAGAGACTAACAAAAGAAGTACAACAGATACGTATATTTATCTAAATATACACAGAAACACTAAATACATACAAAAGTGAGAGCTACGATTTTTAAATAATCAAAACCTTATTTTCTATGGTATGATATATCATGGCACAACATTCATATTACTTTTCCAAATAAAACAGCTTTTAGCCATTTAGATTTGGTTTTGGAAATATAATGCTCTCCCATGGCCAGCATCCCAAAACAAACTCTTCATTTTATTTTCTTGTCTCAGACTTGTCAAAATTATTTAATAAATCCTACCATAACACTTTTTCCTCTGGCCCATACTTGTACTTCCTTTCTAAACTGTGTCCGCCCTTGAAGTATTATTTTTCCTTGAATGCTTTCCTGACTGCGCGGGCACCTAGAATTCTCTCCACTCTACCTTGCTAGGAGTTACAGATTAAACCAAGCCATTTAACCAAATAGATGTTTTTATTGAATTTCCACTATGAGACCGATTTCAAGGTCCAAGTAGTCTAAATGTGAATATTCTCTATGCCCTACTTTGTCCCCACCTTGGAATTAAGTCTCAGCACACAACAGAACACACTTCTGTACATAGTAAGTATACAATTAAGATCCGGTGAGGGGGATACTGATGATGCCAACCTCAAAATGAATTCAGGATCACAACGTAAAAGTTCAGCACGCTCTCGGAGTCAGAGTATGGATTCTTACACGGCATCTCCCCGAGCTTGAATGCAGAGTCCCAGAAATCAATTTAAACTTTGAGTAGATACAACTCACTTAAAATGAAATAGGAAATTGGGTTAATTGTTTCAAAGATCTATGTTCTTAGTTGAAATTTCATGTAAGACAGTACAGTAAATGGGAGTGTCACACATGGAAATATGACTAGAGCAAAGTCTTCCTGGATGAAATGGAATTTTAGTCATTTGTGTCTCCTGTAGAACCAGATAATGTTGTAGATTGAGCAATATGATAAAAAAAAAAAATTTCCAAGTGAATCTCCTTTTCTTTTAGGACTTCTACAAACGGTGGCAGCTGAGGTGGCTTTATTTCAGGTTTCATGTAGTCTTTTTCCATCAATGCTAAGAATGTCTGGCTTCGTTGAACGCTTTCCTATTCCACTCTGCTGCTGCTGCTTTCTTTTTTTTTTTTTTTTTTTTTTTTTTTTTTTTTTTTTTGTTTTTTTTTT